TTCTTTCTTACCATTCTTTTGAAGGGAAAGAGGAAGAAACTTCCATTAAAAATAAAAAAATAACTTTATCAGATTGTATTTTATCAAAATAAAAGTATTATTTCCTTATTTACTTAGATCCAAATCACAGGAAAGCACCCAAACACATAACAGTAGGTAAGTACATTAGGAGCTGTCTCTTAAAATAAGTATGTTTAAAATTGAAATGAAATTCATAATCTCTAATTAATTCCTAGGTATTTATTAGGTAGATGAATTAGTAAAGTACTATATCAGAAAAAACATATTAATCTTTACTAATCCTACTAATTAATGAGTATTTATTCACTTAGTCTTTTTTCTTCAGTTTAGTAAAGTTGGAACTTGCTCTTGTGGATAGAATGGAATTAAAGAGTTTGAATCCAATAAGATATAACATATGTAAATTACTCTATAAAATAAATTCATAATCAGGGCCACTTTATCCATTATGCATTGTAGACATAATATTTAAGGCCTATGAGTTTCCAACTGCCAAAAACAAAACAGTGTTTACAACATGCAAAACCAAACAGATTGGCTCCAAGATATGGAAAAAATAAAATTAATAATATATTTCAATTACCCAAAAAAATGCAAACTCTTAACTGTTACATTCATAAACATTTAATTATATGTAGAAAAATGTAAGATTTTCTCATTTGCAAATACTTCTGATTAAATACGATGCTTCCCCAGAAATCTCAGAAAATTGTAGCATAAACATTACTCACAGCCAAATAATTTCACAAGCAAATTGCAAAAAGTTTTTGTAGAATCCTTTTTTCTGACGTATGAATTTTTGCTTGGCAGTACCCTCAGTTGTTTGTATATTTGGCAGTGGAAGGGAATTTATTTGCTCCCAGTACCTTAAAAATGTGTCTTTTTTCTTTTCCATAGTAACTAATAATTCCTTCAGAGGACAATGGATATTACAGAGTGTCTCACTGAAATGAAAATTCCACCTTTCCTCCCTTGGTCACAGTCAAAGGAAACAATAAACCGAGTGTGGAACTATTTGCATGTGCATCTGTATTTCTTCCTCTACCCCTGAGGCTTCAGTTCTGTCATTTCAGGGCCCTTAACTGAAGATACCTCAGCTCAAGCATCCCCATCCCAACCAGGCTCCCTCTGCTCTTTTTCCCAGCTGTCCCGCCACCTACTCCTGCTTACCTGCCTGGGGCCCCAGGTGCTGGGAATCTGCATCCACTGCTTTTACTGAGGAGGAGCTTGTGGTTGGTAGTCCATGGTCCTCCTCCTGGTATTTCTCACCAGACTTGAGTAGCTGCATACAGATCTCACTTAATCCAGATATATGCCTGCCTCACCCTCCCCACAACCCCAGTATAGGCTTCTGAAAGAAGCTGTGTTCACTTTGAGGACTGTACATTACTGTCCAGGACTCTTGCTCTACCCACCTCCTTTCCCCTTTTCCTTGGCTAGGTGATCCACAGGGTGAATCCCAAAAGACAGAAGGACCCAGAGAGCTTGGGCTTGGATCTCAGGGGCAAAGGTTAACCTCTATCAGAGTTTGGTGACAAGGTTGATAAACTGAGTTGGGAACAAGTTCTGTCATTTTCCATTTTCTGAAAGTTTGAATGAGATTGTTTAGTTTTCCAATTAAATATATGGTAGAATTCACCAAGGAAGGGTAAAATTGTATCACTCATCAGTGAATTATCTCACTAATCTTACCATCTATATTATTTTCTCTGTCAATAAACCTCACTTAATTTGTCT